CAAAGCTGCCTTCTGAGAAATCGAAAACAGAATAACTCACTGGGGGCTCCGAGAGTTTCCAGAAACTACCCGAGTCAAAAACTAATGATTTGTAAGATAATAATAAACAAGAAAGGGCAACATAGTGAGTGAAATGGTCAAAAAAAAGTTTTCAATCAATATATCTGATAGAGCTAAGAAAGGAAAATGAGAAAACGGAATGGTTAGATTACACTCATAATGAACCATACATATCATGATTATTTATTTTACAAAATCTAAACTCCTGTTCGAACATCACGAGAGGTTGCATCCAGAGATTGAGGAACGCCGTTGAAGCGCAAATCTCGAATACATCCATCAAATCCAGGAATCGTCAAATCGAATAATCTACGATGTTTCGAGATAACACCACCAATATACATCCGCCTTTTCATAACTTTAGGAGCTGGTGCATCTGTCATAACTTCAGGAGGCAGGTCGTCAATCTGGAAATATGATCTATCGTTTCCAAAACAAAAAAGGTTTAAAAAAATCAGAAAGTAAACGCTCTACTTGTTTAGAGCTGATAAATAATAAAACTTACGATTATAGATATTTGCCTATCATTCTTAGTTATCACAATATCGTGCCAATGCCCGTCATCGATTTTTCGTTCTAAGGCTCTTATAGTCTTCGGCTGTTTATGGCCTTTCACCTAAATCAATTATGAGTGAGGCTAGAAGAACAACATTTCTCACCTCAAGCACAGCGAATCCATCAATCACATTTAAGTAAATGTATCTTGAATAGGTCTTGTAGTTTGCCCATACCCACAACATTCCGTTCTCTTGTTCCGTTCTCACGGACATGCTGATCGAGAAGGATGTCATATTAGGGTAATTTCCAGCTTCGAAGTTTATTCGACTGTGAGAGCTTTTGGATAATCCAAACCTGGCAGCTCGTTCTTCATCATATGAGAACTGGCTGATTGTTCCAGGACACTAGAAGTCGAAATTAGAAAGGAAACATTTAAAAACTATACCAGTGGTGTTTCGGATGTGGATCTGGTGATGTTCTGAGAAGAAAGAGTCGAATGAACATCTGTAACAAAAGCGTTGAAATAAAAATAATGGAAGATCCAAGAGAAGAACTGTTTCAAGCTCCAAATTAAGAAACTTGTAAATTTTTTGGGAAAATGAACAATTTGGAAAACACCACTCACCATAGTATTCCCTATCTAGCTGATGAGCAATTCGAGAATCCTTGCGAAGTCCTTTTGGAGCTTCTCCATCAATGGGATCATCTGTAATATTTTTTGTTTTGTATAATGAATATAATAGTATATTCCTGTTGTATCCCATATTTGTATGTTAGGTATTCTTAACTCGAGAGAAAGAAACGTACCGAAAGGATAGAAGTGATAAGATTCCATGGCACATATTCCTATTTCTGCCTCGTGATCTTCCGGAATGAACGATCGTGGTCTACAAAAATTAAAAATTAGTTTGTCACCTTTCCGATTCTGAACGTACTTATAATCATGAACCATATCCGAAATACAACCAATCAGGGGAATTGTGGATGGAATTTCTCCATTTGATGGCTTAGACCTATCGGATAGTCCACCAAGGAACATCTGACTGTTCGAGTTTCCGATGGAACTCTGATCTTCCAGTTGTTGCCCATCTCCAACTTCTTTATCATCAACTCGTAAGCGGATTCTTGAAAATCGAATAAATAAAATATAGAACGTAAAGACCCAAGTTACATTCTCTCAATCCTGCTCATGAAAACGGAGTGAACTTGGCCATCATTGTACACTTGACTACTTCTGATTGTAACAACATCTTTTCGAGATGAAGCATCTTTGCCAAAATGTAAGACAAGATAACCACGGAAAAGGTAAAAGGCCATGAAACCCTGAAAATGTTAAATGAATGAAAAGGAAGCAAAGCTTGTATACTTTTCCATCGTTGGTGGCATCTCTTTGCTTTCTTCGGTTATCAGATAACTTGGACGATTGGAACACCAACGTAGCATTCTCTTCCTTTGTGCGGAATGAAAAACCAAATCTGCAAGTGTATAGTGAGGCAGTTTCTCATCATTTTTTACTCACGTTGAGTTGTTATCCATGATAACACCTTGTGTCAAAAGGTAGCCTGGTTTAGAGAACCCTACTAAACGATCAGTAGGTTGAAGTCTTTCTTCGTCTGTGAACAAGCAACCAGGTTGTCGACGATGAGATCGAACAGGAGATCTCAAGTCCAGTTCAACAACTCCAGCTAACTTCACAGAATGAATACATCCAAAGAAAGACCTCCATTGTATATTGTGCTGGCCAAATTTAGAAACATTGAAGCCGGCTGGAATTCCGGCAACAAAATGATCTTCGTTGTTGATATTTAGGGCTGTGTTTTCTCCTGGCAGAGTAGAAGATGAACGATCAGCATCACTATCAACCTGGTAAAAAGATGTTCATCGTTGAAAGAAAGTAAATAAAGACTAACCTGTAGATGAACTTCATCCTGATTGCGTATGGCTTTGACGGTGTGTTGCTTGCCGTCATTATATGAGTTTCTCGAGCGTATGATTGCCGTGGATTCTCCTCCGAGGTGTACTTTGAACACAACGTAGCCATCTTCCAAATAGATTGCAGCAAAATCTCCCGATTCTGTGCTTCCTCGGAAGTATAGCAAACCGTTGGGAGAATACGCGTTGAATATAACTGCGTATGAAGACAATGTTCTTTCTTGTACATTGATATTCACAAGAGCAAAACCATCTCGGAACATATGACCTCGATTTTGCGATTGCGGAGGTGGAATGTCGCCTGAGCATGTGGTCGAACTGCTTTCAAACGTCCATAGTGGAACGGAAACATCGTCCACGTTGATTTCCCCAATAGTTCCGAAGAATTTATGCGTAGCCAAACCTATATCAGAAGCATCCGATTGCTCTACACCGGCTTCTAGCAATGTCTGTCCAGGAACAGTATTAAAAATAACATCTCCTGAGCTATTGGACTCTCCAACTAAAACAGAAACCGCGTCTTTACGAGCTCGGGAAGGTTCTAATCCAATAGTTTCTTGAACGGAGACCGTAAGATTAATGGCATTTCCGAAACGCATAACGTCAATATGATACCATGAACTACGATCAGTTGATGGGATATAGTTGATTGGATGCTTATTCGTTGCCATTTTTTTTCCAGCTCCAACATTCCAATGGACTACAACTCGTTTGTCTCTTATTTCAACAGCGATATATTCACTAGCCACAGTTCTGCGATGCTTTGTTTTCGTTACTAAGACAGCGGAGTCTGGGACTACCCTTTGAGGTCTATACTTGATCGAAATTTTGTTAGCTGGCGAAGGATGAGCGGGTGATACATATTTTCGATGGCAAGTACTAACTTCAGAGCTGGAAAGAGACAAACGAATTTCTTGGGCACGCTCTCGTGCTTCATTGATCCTCTCCTTGAGAAGACTCAGCTGTTTCTCCATTTCATCTGCTCTTTGCCTATTAGCCGATGATAAGCCGCCAACACGACCGAGGACATTAGTTTGCTTTTCCAGATGCGTGCGGGCATCACGTAACTTGATCAGTTCCTCCTGTATCCCCTGACGCGTACTGTTTTCTAATTTTGCAGTCTCATCATTAATTTGCCGGACCTCCTGCTTCAATTCTTCAGCTGTTTTACGAATGTTCTCAGCTTTTTTGTCCGCGTCTCTAGCAACGCTTTGTAATCCTGCCATACGATCATGGTGATCGTCGAACTTATTCCATTGTCCTCGAATACCATCATTTCTTTTGATCATATCAATATTATAATCGTGGACAGAAGCTAGTCGATCGTTCAGTTTCTCTCTTTGCTTCTCAAACTCTTCATTAGTCCATTCTTTTTTGAGTGAATCAGCTTCAACCGATAAGGTTTTACTTTGTTCACTGGCTGCTTGAACTTGCTTCAACTGGGATGTTTCTGATTCCACATCTTCAGAATGAGCATCATTGGCTGCCTTTAAAGCTTTAGCAGATGCATGACTTGCGTTCCGTAGAGCTGCAACAATGTCTTCATAAGCTTGCGATGCTCTCAAAGGGTTGGCCGCCTCAGCTTGGGTTCCTTTAAACTGATCTTTTAATCGCTTGCCTTCATGAGCTAAATGAGTGGCATGTTCTGAAGACTTTTGAACATATTGTTCATCATATTCGTCTATTAGTTGAGCGTACAGTAATGTTAAGTTACTGCATTTATCTGCGCTTTCATTCGCACGTTCTAAAGTCAGATTGATATGCTGGACGTCGGAGATCATTCCTTGCATTAGATCTGACTTCGCCATCTCTGTTCCGTCCTTTGCATTTGCTAAGACGTCTTCAGCTTCTGCACGATGTTTCTCGATTTCGTTGCTTACTTCCTTATACCGGTCTATCCGTTTCGATACCAAGTTGGTCATACGCTCAGCTTCTTGTGTATCCTTGCGTGAGGTATCATGAATAGTAATGCGAAACTCTTCTAACCATTGTCCAAACTCTTGCAGACGATTGGTTAAGTTTTCGAAAACTGTATCATTCAACTTTTTGGAGAAAACCTTCTTCAAAAGTTCCTCATTCTTTTGATGCTCAGCTTGAGCTCGATTCAAACGCTTTTCTATGTAGAGTCCTCGATCCAATGTTGCGTTGTAATGAGCTTCCGATTCAAGGGCCCAAGAATCTAAAGTTGCTCCACCAACAGAAGAGCCACCATATGTATGGAAATGCTTCAAAAATTGTGTGATGTTGAATGCATTAGCGTAAGCAACTTGAGCATCTAGTATCGCTTTTTCAGCTAATCCAGTGAACTGTCCGATAGACAGGGCAGACTTTTCCATGCGTTCCATTTGGAATCTAGCTTCTTCAATAACGCTAAAAGCTTCTTTTGCGTATTTACTATCTGCCACGATGTGCTGGACATCAGATTCGCTTCCTCCAGATGATGAACTCAGCGACTTGACAAATTCAGAAATCAGTTCTGTATTGTTGCCAATACGAGCAACGCGCTTCCAAGGTATTGGTTTTAGGTTACTGAAGTTTTGCTTGGATAATGTCTCCTCTAAATCGTCGATAAGCAGCATCAATGGAAGGTAGCATCCTTGATCACAAGATGTGCAAACGCCTCCGATGAAGGCATGTCTATCCTGACAACGGCTACAATCTCTTCCCGTAACTCCGGGTCGACATTCGCATTGACCAGTTAAAGGGTCACAATTACTGTTCAAACTTCCATCTGGGTGACAGTTGCATTCCTCACAGAAGCCAGCTGGTATTTCGGGGTTACCGAAATACCCAGTTTGACAATTTTCGCAGTACTGACCTGTGTATCCTTTACGGCATGCATTACATACATAGCCACGACCATAAGTTACAGCAACACATGAATCCGAGAATGAGTTCTCAATTAGAGGACAGGCACATTGAGTGCAAGCAGCTGAACCTCCTTCTCGCGCATCTCCAATGAAACCATTCCGACAAAGCTCACACATATCTCCGATTGTGTTGTGCAGACAGTCCTGAAATAAATTATAAATTTCGAACTAATATTAAAGTTTACCGTGCAGACACATGTTTCAGGATGACATGTTGTAGAATGTCCATTGCACTGACATGGCTCTGACCAACCAATTAATGTCAAATCATCGATGTTATTCAAATAGTCGCGATGTCTTTTTCGACAATATCCTTCGTCAGGGTTTTGGCAAGATTGTCCTGAATATCCTTGTGGACAGCTCACGCATTTTTCTACACCGATAGCCAAGCTATCGGATGCAGCTTCGGATTTACTGACTCCAACGTCTAGGGAGATTTCCTTTATGTTTATGGCGTCACCTCGTGCAGGATAGTTATATGTTCCTCGAACATATATTCCTTGGAGATTTTGTAAGGCTATCATCATAGTTTTTCTTGTCAATGATAGTTCTGGGGCATGACGCATTCTCCATTCCGTTTCATGCAATCGAATTTTATACTTTCCATCTTCTTTTATCTCCGTTGGAATATGTTCAAGCTCGATGCGGTTATTTCCAACAAGCACAACTTGGGGGAAGTAGCGGAAGTACTGTTGCTCAGGTCTTACTCCAAGAAGACCACGCCTATTGTCTTCATTAATTATTTTAAAGCGTAAAAAGCCGTTATAAGAACTGGTGCGATCTCCCGTCATAGTTTCTGGCAGCTGCCAATACACAGGAGTAGCGTCGGTAGGATAACTGTTCAACCGAAGAGGGTGACTTTTCAGAACATTCAAACTATGCTTTTTCGTATAGAAGTCCCATGGCTCCTCAAAAACAGCCCGGCGATCTTCTGCATACACTTGTTGCCAATAAAGTTCACTTTGCATGCATGATGTACTACGATTAAAGCAGAAGCATTCAGTACATCCTAAGAGATTGGAAGCATCAATACTGAAAGTATGCTCCTTGCATGTATCACACTTCATCCCTTCTACATTTTTCTGAAAAAATACGTATCTTAATTCTTTTTGTTAATACTTACCTTGCATGGACATTGCCCACTATCATCACACAGACAGAGCCCATCATTGCATTGAGTAGTATCAGTTCCATTTTCATTGCAATTACAAGGTTCACAGTTGGGGAAATTGAAAAATCCATGAGTACACCTATCGCACTTCAAACCGACATATCCCTCTTTACATGCGCACTGGAATCATGTGTTTTGTTTAGGGCGCGACAAACAGATGGTACTCACCTGCCCTGTAGCAGTATCGCAAGAACCAGCATCGTTGGAACCGATAGAACTACAATCACATTTGAGACACCCGTTGAGAGGATGGTAGTTCCAGGAATCGTCCGCGCACTCTTCACACATATCGCCAATTGTGTTTTGAGGACATATACATTCACCAGTGTCCGAATCGCACACTTGTCCAGGGGCAGGGCAAGGCTCACATTCTGAAGAAAAAAAGCTCTTCCACTTTTCCAACACAAAAATTGTTCAATTATTGCAATGCAACCATTCTGTCATCTGTTTTTAATAGTTAGATAATATACCTTTACATCCTTCTTCATCCATTCCATAATGATTTGCCAAGCATTTATCACATTTTAGACCACTAACACCAGCTTTACATTCGCATTGCCCTGATACAATATTACAAGCCGAGCTGAGTGATCCAGTGACATCGCAATCGCAGGCTTGACATCCTTCTCCGCTAGATATATTGAAGAACCCATCTTCGCATTTCTCACACATTTTCCCGGCTACATTTTCTCTACATTCACATTTTCCGGTAACAGTGTCGCACTAAAAATTATAAATTTCTGTTTAATACAAATCCCGTTCTTACTTTGCCATCTTCAATGGAACCATATATGTTACAATGGCAAAATTGACATCCTTCTATCGTCAAATTGAAGTATGATGGTCGACATTGACCACAATGCTGAAAAAAAAAGATTTCGAAGAATCACAAAAGGAGTGATGTACCTTTCCGAAAACACCTTGCTTGCAATCACATTGACCACTGACAGCGTCACATTCAGATCCAATACTTCCGACGAGATCACAATTACACTTCGGACAATCGTTTTCCACATCTCCGAAGCCATCCTGTGGTAAATTAAATAATATTTCTATACATCTTAATCAAACCATGCAACGATCGCAATGTTTTCCAATGTAGTTTTCTTTACATTCGCAGTCACCATTCTCCAAACTACATTGCTGAATAATAGAACCGATGTGATGACATCCACAAGATTTGCAAGTATGGTCCAGAGCGTTTCCCCAATGATTTTCTTTGCAGACCTCACAATGGTCACCAGCAGTGTTCCCAATGCACTTAAGACATTTACCAGAAACTGTGTCACAGTTGCCAATGGCCATAACATCGATATTGCCATTACAGGCACAGTCAACACAAGTTCCATTCTCAGACATCGGATCTCCGAAAAATCCATCGGCACAACTGAAACGCAACTTTACATGAAAGGAATGAAGCAGAATCACTATTACACTTCGCATTTGTTTCCTTCATATCCTTTCTCGCATGCAGTGCAAACATAATCATCTTCTTTCGAGGCTGCTGCTCCTGAGACAACTAACTGAGTCATCATGCATTCTGGGGAACGATTGTTCTCCAAAGAAGGGCATTCACAAGGAAGGCACATCCCCATTTCTCCGCCTAGGGAAGGGTTTCCGTAATATCCCGACAAGCACAGTTCGCAACGTGGTCCCGCTGTATTGTGCTTAAATTTTTCCATAATTTCAATCGCTGTTCTTAGATTTTCTTACCTGACATTCAAGGCATTTTCCTGTGTGGGGATCACACTTATCAGAATGACCGTTACAATCACATTTTTCACAACGTCCTCCATACAGTTGATTGTTAACGCGTCGGAATCCGGGTGCACAAGACTGTTCAAGAGTTCAGATAAGTTAAAATCGAAGCTTCACGTTACCTCACAACTATTGCCGACAAAATCAGGGGGACAACTACATACTTCAACACCCCTCATCGACAAGTCAACAACTGGAGGAACTAGTACGTTTTCTTCGTCTTCGTCATCCATTTCTTCCGGTTGTGGCACAGCGGTGTCTAAGGCCAATCCGAAAATTCTGTAGAAGCACAGTTAACTTGAGAAGAATAATTTCAACATACGAGCTTTGCAATTGGTTTTGCTGATACATTGCTCTGACCATAAACTTTTGTACGTCTGCCAGCGCTCTCATCATGTCCGCCTTGTCTACTGAAGTTCGAGATGCCGAATTATACCACCCTGAACCCTCCCTGGAAACGGACATTCGAAACGATTTTCTAACTACACTTACCTGATAGGGATTTGAACAGTCATATTTTCTCTTGGGAAAAACTCCATTCTTGAATAATATTCCAATTTAATCCCGTTGCCCTAAAAAGTACTAGAATGAAACCAAACTTAATGTTTTGACTCACTTCGATAATCAAATCCGCAACAGGAACAGGGTTGCCCTGATCTTGCGGTACATAATAAACATAATACAGCAAGTTTCCACCGTAACTATTTAGCATGTTACCACTGAAGCTATCAGGAGCCTTCCAGTAATATAATGATCGATCTCGATTCTGATTAGCATTGAAGAGAAGAACTTCGCCGTTCTCAGTCTCAGGTCGTATGTCTTTGCCTCCAGTCAAATCGGTTAAATTCCAACCAATATTGTTGGAAACCTTAGGAACGAACTTGAGCATTGATGAAAAAAAATACTTACCACGGATTTCAACCAGTCAACTTGTGTACAGTTTTTGGTCATACCAAAACAGAAACAAGGCTGACATCCTTGAGGATTTGAAGCTGATAAATGAATTGTTCCCTCCTTGCATCTGTCACAGTAAACTCCTTCGACATTAGCTTTGCATTGACAACTGTAAAATTATGAAACTATTTCTAAAACAATTGGAAAAATCTCTACTTGGCCTCTTCGCACTGGTCGTAATTGAGAGATCCAGCCTGATTGCAAGGACAAGGTTCGCAGTTTGGATAGTTACGATAACCACGCGCACATCGTTCACAACGTCTACCTCCGAAACCAGGTTTGCAAACACAATCTCCAGGTTGCTGAAAAGTTTCCTAATTTATTTAGCCAAAATCAATGCTCACTTGTCCGTTGATGGCAGACTGATCATCTTTTATGCAGACGTCACTAACAGAACCGATCGGGTCACAATCACAAGGTCGACAGGCATCTTCCCTTTAATTATAGATTACATCACAAAACTAGTGAGTTGGAAAATAAAAGTTATATAACTTATAAAAATAGTAATTAGAGAACATATTTCAGTTAAATTAATAATTCAAATACCTATAATGGGACAGCCCACTTGGTCTATAGAAACTGTCTTGACATCTTTCGCAGTTATATCCAACGGTATTATGCTTAAATAAATTTTTGAATAAAGGAAAAATGAGAATTAAAGGTTTTGAACTCACTTTGCAATCGATGCATCTTCCGCCTCCTTCGTAAACTCCTTCAGGCGTGATAGACCATTTATTGAGGTCGAGCTCTTCGTCATAAACGCAAGAATCAGCATGATTGAAACATTGACATTCTTTAAACTCACATAAAAATCAAGAAAATTAAAATAAAGCTCACGTTGGCAAATATTAGGATGACTGTTGGTCCCTGCTTTCCAAGGTAGTTGGTTGAAAAGTGGGCAACACCGATTACAGGACTCCCCACAAGTGTTGTGCCGGCATTCACATTTGAATTGCTAGAGTAAAATGTAACAAGGCTTAATAACACGAAACATACTCCTGTTACAGGATCACTAGGACAGCTTTCAGCGTGACCATAGCATATACATTGCCCACCGATGGATATGTCAGAGATTGAATAGAAGTATCTGCATAGTATCACTTTCTACTTAGATTCAGTATATAATTCATACCTCATTGTAACGGACTTATCAATACGATGTGAGTGCCTGTTAATTATCATCAAATCCGCATTAAGAGTGCGAGGGGATATCAAACGAAGCCTAACATACCGAGCTTTTGTAAACTTCTGAATATATTTATTAGCTAGAAGTTCAGAAACTCATCCGCACTTGTAGCTCGAGAGAAGGTTTCTCAACTCCTGGCCTTCTATTGACTAAAGACGTGTGAATCTCTCCTCCTTCCAATGGAGTTAATTTTGAATATTCACTGGTGCAGTGAACCTGATGAAAACAGTCTTATCCATTCTCGAATGAAAGAACAAACCTCATCATCTCTCTGATAACGAGGAACTCCTGATGTGGCTGGAATTCCGAACAACCTCATGCATTCAGCTTCAGAATTTGCATAATATTGCCAGGGAGTATAATCAACTCCGTTCAAAGACTTCTCCAAAACCCATGTTCCAGGTCGAGGTGAGTTTCCCATTTTTATTATGATATAAGCAACTTGGTACTCTTGACGTAAATCAATAGTGATATTGTTTTTTTCGAACTCTAAGCCATTAGCCAGAGAAGGTGATTGCCACCATCTAAACTCCAAGGAATACTAACATGAATGTTCAGAAAAAAAAACTACCTTCTAGTACCATCGATTGCAAACTCAATAGGATGCCGATGCCGAACATCATTAGCATCACATATGTCACATTGAGGCGAGCTTAGAAAAAAGATCATACATATGATAAAACAGAAATCTTACTCTTCTTGATAGGTTTTTCTCAATAAGACATGTTCTACAAGCTTACAGTATTCTTCACGATGCGTCTGACCGCAAGTGGATGTAGCGTTAATCAGAGAGTTTGTTGCCAAATTGAAAATGTTTGGAAATAGCCCTCTCTCTAGAAAAACACAAAGTAAATGATTAAACAAGCAATAAATGAATACCGCTTTCTGTTGTTATAAACTCTTGAAACTGCTCATAATCGGATTGACTTGTTACAGAACAAGTAATCGAGAAAATGACAAGTAACCAGACCCGAAGGTCCGGAGATGTCATTTCAAGTTAAAAAGCTGAAACGATATAAGTTGAAGAAGATTCTCAAAAGGTAAAGATGGACTTTACAAAATATACAGATATTTGAAAAATATTTTCATATAAAAACAGCAAAAAGAATGAATCAGGTAGTTAGCATTTACGTAAAACATAGTTCAATGACTCAGAAGATGAAGAAGACACTATGAAGATGATGAAAACGTAAAGTTACCAGAAAAAAAAATGTTCGAAAAATGGAGATAAATGCTGTTCATGAACGAAACATATGTTATACATCTGCTAAAAGTTTGCCAGAAATCTAAGTTCATAGAAAAAATAATTTGTATCTTATACAAGATGCATAGAAAATAGCGAAGATCGTTCATCTGGTGAAAAGATATAACGTAATAAGGAAAGAACGATGGATTGCGGTCTTATCTGATGAGGACATCAACAGTGGATAATTCGAGGACTATTCTCGTTCCCTCTCTCTCGAGTTCTACCGATCACTGAATACATTTTAACTTCACTTTCCATTCAATTATCCATTATCTATCTTTTCGGCAACTTTAATGCAAAGTACGTGTGGCGACAACAATAAGAACACAATATCACAAGAATTTTGTACGATTCTCATATAAAACTATATGAAGGGATTCAACCCGGAGAACTAATCAAAGGGTCGTGAAAAAGATGCTTTTGGTCCATCAAAAGAAGCATCTTGGCATTTGCAAATAGATGACGTCACTAATGGATAAGTTAGTGGCGTTCGACCGAGTATGACAAGCTATAACCTCCTTACTTCACATTTCTCTATCTCTCACTAGCCTTCTTATAGTCCAAATATAGCAAACATATGGTAAAATCATTGATATTAAGATGTTTAGTTTGAAGACAAACAAAGACATAACTAACACAAATGATGTGAAAAAGAAGCAGAGCTATGTACTTGAATGGCAGAGGACAGAAAGTAAATAGTACGACAGGCAACTTTGAAAGAAATTTAGAAAATTAAGAGATGATTTTTGATAATTGCCTACAAACAAAAATAGCTAGTCTTCTTATAAACAAAAATGAGAGTTCAAGGAAATTTGAGGCAAACAGTTGATGATGCAGTCTTTATATTCTGCATAATAGAATACAATGAGGAATTGAGAGGTGTATGAAGGGCAAGATGGTGACCATACGGTTAAAACTATTATGGTCAGCACATGCCATCATTATATTAGAAAGGATTAAAGAGGCGACTCTTCTTAGAATATGAAAGAGACTAAGGATTATTATAATAAATCTTGTTATACACCTTATTAGAGAGTCCATTAAAGAAATAAAGGTGATGCCAAATGAATATAATATAAGTTAACTGGTAGCACAGAAATACGAAAGGCAAGGTAAAGCAGTCTGAGAGACGACACTACCTGACTAATAAGGTAAATGCCATTCTGACCTGCATACGGTTTGTCCAAAGATAAAGAAGAAAGAGAAGAGCACATATATGGTAATAATAAGACATCTGAGAGTTGAGGCTAGATAATCTTTGCATAAGAATGGAGAGAGGGTCCAGATGAGAAACAGAAAAAGATGGTGCGAAGGTCAGAGGCTAGTAAGTTTGGCCAACCTGTCTTAGCTTGTAATAAAGAGAGACGCAGATGAATGACAAGAGCCTCATGAGCAATACATCGAGTTGATCGAAAGTATGCTTACTCATGTTGATTATAGTGAAGATTAAACAACAAGTGGTTATGATTATCATATATTGTCCATTTTACTAAATCAAGATTAGGCTTAACTCACAGTACTCGTTCTCATATACACCACTCGGAGCGAAGATGTGAGAATAACACATAGAAACTGTTATAAGAAAGTATGGACTATGAAACAATGCTCAGACTGATAGCATGCAAGCAGATGTATTGCATCTGAAGAGATCATTCATGAAATTCGTTCAAGCTGTGAGCAATAAATCCTATTTAAAAACATAACTGTATGGATACATCTTCACCGAGCAAACGGCAAGAATCGTTAACAGCACCAAACGTATTGTTGATCGAAGGGACAAATAAAATATAAAACTATCCATGTTCCATTAAAAGCTTTGCAATGGTCTTATCAGAGCCTTTTGCTGGTGATAAGATGAATCGATGGAGGTCAATGATGTGAATAGCCAAAAAAAGTAGAAAAGAAATGAAACGTAGGCATCATTGATAACATTCATATTAGGAATGAAAGAACACTTATATCATCGCCGCAGGTCACCTAACTCGGAATTAAACGAATTAGGTAGCATATAGTCATATAATGATAAGGAAGTGCGAACAAAAGAAGCTGATAAGGTTAAGAGAGTGATAAAATGAGAAAAAAAATAATTCGACGTACCATCTATTTGAACCGTTGATCAGCAACATTCCACAACCGATTCTCCGAGTATCTTTGATACGAATGAAAAAAACGCCTGTTATCTGATATGCTAATTGGCCGATCAATAAGCTTCATTCCACATTCAAACACTTCCTCTATAATGAAAACTTGAATTAATTCTGTTTTCGAAACATTTACTTTAATATTTCGTTGCCTGTCCAAACTCGCAACTGCAATGCCCAGCTCGGATTATTCTTCTAAGTACATCATGGTTCTGCTATGTAATAACCAAGATACGCTCGCAACTTAATTCTAGTTGTTCTTAAAATGGTAGGTGTTGCCTTTTTCATTATTTCAATATAACGTCCAATGAGCCTTAACCTATACCCCGCCTATATAAGTATGCGGCAGATGGTATATATCGACGCCACTGTGCGCTCATTGCCATATAACGGCTGTTCTTCGACGAGAGAGTGTGTAATAAAGAGAGAGAACAGAGAAAGGTCTGCTGCTGAGATGAAGCAGTTGTTTTCCTGCTTTTCTCCTATTGATCGCTAATGTTGCAGATTTATTTACTAATTCTCTTCCCCACATTGAAACGAAACCTTGAAAAGGTAGAAGAGCGTTAAGATTATCCTATTTTGTCTTCAGATTGCCCATTTACACGTTTTACCTTGTGTAAAGTTCTACATTTTTATGTTTTTTATCTTATTCCATCTTATTAGTTAGACAAATTAATCCATTTTATCATGTTCTGTTTGTTTCATTTTGAAATCTAGTTTGTTTCCTTAAGAATTTCGCTGAAACTTCCATTGATCGCCTGCTGGTAGCCTATGTTATTTGCTATGGATTTAGTAAGGTTGTCTGTCCGTCTGTGTGCGTCTGAGAAATTCTCTTCTGTGTGCTATAGTTCACCCATCATGACTGTTTACAATTTTCTTCGATTTCTATTAGTGCAGTAATCCTTTCATTAAGTTCGAATAGAAAGAACTCGAACTAGTGTTTTTACTCTTCCTTCTGTATTTAAAAATCACAAAAATAATTATTTAGAATCAATGACGAGTTCAAAATCAGATGAATCCAGTAGGAAAGAACTGAATACTGGAGGAACCATCAAATTACAGCCGCGTATATCCTTATTCACAGCATGTGGTATCATCATTGGTGTAATTGTTGGTTCTGGAATCTTTGTTTCTCCTAAAGGTTTATTTTTGTTTTGAAATAAGCAATACCTATGCTTTTTTCTCAAAGGAGTTCTGATAGAAGCTGGAAGCGTTGGTTTATCCCTCTTAGTATGGATTCTATCTGGTGTCTTCTCCATGATTGGAGCTATCTGTTATGCAGAATTAGGAACGACAATCCCTAAGAGTGGTGGTGATTATGCTTATATTTATGAGGTTTTCAACTTTTCAAATGTCTGCCTTAATGGTCTATTCCAGGCGTTTGGTTCTCTTCCCGCTTTTCTCTTTTTATGGATGGCTTTAATGATTATAAATCCTACGTCCAATGCTATAATTGCTTTGACGTTCGCTAATTATGGTCTCAAGCCTTTTTTCCCAACCTGTGATGTTCCAGAGTTGGCTATTAAGTTACTAGCTGCATGTACTATAGGTATTCGAAAGTTTATTTCAAGTCTTTTATTCGCTGTTTAAGCTATATTAACCTTTATCAACAGTTACAATGTGAAAATGGCTACCAGCACCAACAACATATACTCCGTAACTAAAGTTTTAGCTTTACTCATTATAATTACTACTGGAATTGCATGGCTGTTCTTAGGTTTGTAGTTTTAAGTGCTCTTTTCTTTGTCGAAATACTGGGAATTGTGATGTAAATTAGTGGGTGGCAACTTTGTTACAAGGGATATGCGATATGTGGCTCAGTGGCTGTCGGCTTTTAAAAAATTGTTCGAGATTTATGAAAATTAGATAGCTGTCTTTGCAGGAAACGTTGAATACTTTCAATATCCGGATGTGATGGAAGGCTCTAACTATAAGCCGTCTTCCTTATCCTTGGCGTTCTATTCGGGAGTTTTCTCTTTTGCCGGATGGAATTATTTGAACTTTGTCACAGAAGAGCTGATAGAACCATTCAAGTAGTTAAAGTGCATTTTATGAACTTCAAAGAAAATATCAGGAATCTTCCGAGAGCTATCTACATTTCCATCCCCGCAGTCACACTCATTTACGTCCTCGTGAATGTTGCTTATTTTGCTGTTCTTTCTGTTGATGAGGTTGATTTTAGAAAAAAGTAATTGAGTTAAACTTTAAAACAGATTTTGGAATCAAACGCTGTCGCAGTTCTTTTTGCCGAAAGAGTAATGGGAGTGTTTGCTCCTATCATGCCTTTCTTCGTAGCTTCTTCCTGCATAGGAGGTCTTAATGGAATTATTTTCACTTCTGCAAGGATGTTTTTTGCTGGAGCAAGGTTCAAACTATTATTTTGACTTTTTACATTTTCATTTATAGAGATGGTCAATTACCAGAACTCCTGTCTATGATCTCTATACGTTATGTAACGCCAATGCCATCTTTGCTATTTTTAGGAGGTAAGACTAACTTCTAGAAGTTCTAATGTTTGTTTAGTGCTTTCAATTGCCATGCTGTTCGCTGCTGACGTTTTTGTTCTTATCAACTATTTGGCATTTGCGGAGAGTTTGGTAGTTGCCGTTTCGGTAGCTGGTCTGATCAAAATGAGATTAATGAATCCAGATATGCAGAGACCTATACAGGTAAGCACTAGTTTGAGCTGATGTCTATAATTATGATGATTTTTCAGTTTCCTTTGATAATTCCTATAATCTTCCTGACTATGTGTTTGTTCCTTCTCATTCTACCGCTCTTCAACAAACCTTATGAACTATTTGTTGGAATTGGTATTGTTCTGTCTGGGATACCAATTTACTTACTTTTTGTTTTTAACAAAAGACGACCACAATTCGTTACGAAGTTATGGAGTAAGTTACAGTTTTCACAAATTCTTCAAAGAAAAGTTTAATTTTAGTCGGATTCACACATTTCATTCAAAAGTTACTTTATTGTGTTCCGGAAGAGGGCTCTCGTTCGGAATAATATTAATAAGCTTTAACATTAAACTTGCTCATTGTTTTAGCATCTTAACGAGTTTGGACTAAGTTGTTAACTTCATGACATACTCAGTATGTTCTTGTTATGCTTTTATGTACATAATATTGTTATTCTGATATGCTTAATGAATGTTTTTTTCTATTCTGCATTTGAACTTTTCTCCTTTTTACGGAATGTATTCGCGTGAAATAGTTTCATCGTCATGCGTATTCATGTGGAAGATGAGCCAGAAGAGGGACTTGTAGTTGTCGGATTGCCTGGACGAGTGTATTCGATTATCCAAATGATGTTCGAAGCTGAAGATAGTTGAATTGGCAAAAGTGAGAATAGATAGTTAGAGAAAAAAAGATACTCTGGACTTTCGTAACTGACGGCTGTAAGTGAAATTCAAAAGATTTAGTTTTTCAAATATTTCAAACAGAATGATACATGGGCAAGTTTCGTCTTACCACCTTACTACTTTGATTTGTTTTCTTCTTTGTTTTGCTCCAAATCTCGTTTTTCTATTTCTCCAAATCCTGATTTTGAATAAAGAATATCCGCTCATGGTTACTTTTCATGGTTCAATTGACTTCTATCATTACGGTGAGTTTTAACATACATTAAGCTTTGGTGAGCTTTTCTTAACAATTTTTTTTGAATGCTCGTATTCGCGCGACTTTACGTGAAAAGTCATTTTAGGCTGTGATGAAGCATCGATCGGTTGCATTTGGAGAGAGTGAAAAAACATTTTTTCTGTAACATAATTATATTTTAATGGTTCTTCCATAAAAGCTTTTGAAATTAATTCGAAAAGCTTTTTTTCTCATTGTAATTGATTACGCTGGAAGCTTTCCCGCATGCTTGCATCTTAAAGTGAAAACTGACGAGTTTGTTAAAGTTTTCAATTATTATTTCTTAAGTAAATGCTATTTTCACATAAACTCTCTCTTCTGAGCTTATTCGTCTTCTCTCCTTTTCTACCAATTCTCTGCTCCTCTCTTGATTATGCACATTGTCCCTGAATGGAAGAGACTTGTCGTCCCACCCACCCTCTTTTTCCCTCGAACTCGTCTTTCTTTCTCAATCCCTCTCTCTCTCTTTCTCTCTCCCCCTCTCTCTCATTTTCTTGCCTTTACCCTCACTCTCTCAATGACTTTCATTTTCTTACTGAGTCTTAAGGCTTCATAAGCAATCATCACATCCCTATTCTTATCTTTTTTTTTAATTTTCACAAATTGTGCGTCTGGTTATAAAAGCTTTTCATGAAACTTTCATGTCGCCAATATAATTGTTGTTTGAGTTCTTTGATTGAGAACACACATTTAAAACTTTTCATTTTTTTCTGCTCAGTTTTTCGTCAGAAATTAATGAAAATGTCAAAAGCTGCTTATATTGGTGAAGTTAAGTCAAAATTTATTATTTGTTTTGGTAAAAAGGCCAGAAAAGATATGTTTTCATTTGGTTTTTTTTCATCTGAAGTTTGATGTGAAAATTCATTTGTCTTTTCATATATAGAATACTATATATCTTTATATATCTATCCTTATATCCATATATAGACAGATGAATACATTCATTTACTTATAGATCGATGATATTTAAGTAATGAAGAGCTATGAAGCTTCATTTCATATTTTCTGCTTTTCATCTATTTTTAACTGCTCAAACTTATAAAATAGGTTTGTTCTTGTGTTACAAAGTTTCAGACATCAATAACACTTTTTAGGTGCAATATTGAGGGAAGTCGAAGATGCTCACATAGCTGCCGCTATTCAATACACATGTGAATGGTTAAATCAAAGAGGAATTTATGGAAATATTGAATATTTAATTGAATATATTCCTCTCTTAGATCATTATGAAGCCATCAAGAAAAGTCTTCTTTTATTCTAATTCGCAAATCAATCACATTCGCTTCAGCTTGTTCTATGGTTGAGAAAGATAAAGTCATTGCCATAGTTAGCAGTTCACACGCTGTTCTCAATACTCAAATTGAACGTTTAACTGATCAAGTATTAGTTTTCATAGTTCAGATTTTTACATATTTTCAATGAATCAGATTAATATTCCATTGTTATCCGTCATCGACGATATGGAAACTTCTGTTGGAAAAACTAAAATTGATTACTTTCCTCGTTCTCAACTTTTTGAGGCAACAGTTGATCTGTTCCGGCATTGGAAATGGCATAAGATAACAATTGTTTATGAAGAAGATGCTCGTTAGTTAATTAAGCTTCTTCTTTTCTTTTACTGCTTCTCTAGGTATTAGACGGTTAGAGCCTTTACTTGAAAGTGACACATATTCATCTATTCGCTTCCGTTTGGTTAAAGTTCAGAATAAAAACTACATGAAAGCTGCGAAAGAGGTATTTTCTTCCCATTCCCTTTGTTCTTTCATCACTAACTTTTGTGCTCTTCTCTCTCATGATCTTGTTTTGACCTTTAACGTTAGTCACGTGTTCGCGTGAGCTTCATTTGAGTTTCAGCGTTCCACACGACCGGTTGCAATGCTCACAACTCGTGCGACCAATTGATTTTGGTTTTGCAGGTTAAAGACTTGGAAGAATGCAGGTTCCAAACAAGGAAGGATTGCAGTGAATTCAGTCGCGTACTCCTTGATCTCAATCCTGAGCACACGTACAACTTCCTGTTAGCGGTTAGTGCCGTGCTGTTTAAGTATTCAACTTCTTTGTTTCAAGGCTTTACAAATGGGTTTGATTGATTTGAAGCATTGGTTTCTTCTCACGAATATGGTAAATCTCACTTGGAAGAACGAGAGCTTCAAACACTCTTTCAGGAGTTATCAACCATGGACATGGAGCTGTTCCGCTTTAATCATGCTCGTTATATATCTCCATATCCTATTGATGATAACTTCATTGTTGAAAATCGTCAAATATTCAATTTTTCACATTTCCAAGAGCATATTCGGTCGAGATGGAATAGTAAGACGGGACATAGTAAGAACTTGAGAATGGTAAGCTTCTGTAGTAGACAGCTGAAATGTTTTTGAACAGATTGAGTCAATTCTGACATTTGATGCCATTTATTCGTTTGCAAACGTATTCACCGAAGTATCAACACGTCAACAGATGAATGACTCTCCACAAGTAAACAAAATGTTTTAAAATAACTTGTGCAAGAGCATATTTCAGACGTCGTGTAAGAAACTGAATAGGAACGCTCGTCGATACCATCATGGAAAAACTTTAATTGAAGGACTCACTAACAATGTATTATTGTAGCTTTCAACGTAACTATCTAATTATGTGTTTTGAAGAACCTACGCGGGGTAACTGGTGATTTGCGACGCCTCAGTGGAGATCCTAAGACTAGTAACTTCTCTATGAGAATACATCTTCTAGGTTATAGCGGCAGATTAGATGATGTTTGTTTCATTTCAATTATTGGACAGTCTTTCATTACCTGCTTAAGATTGGCTTCTGGGAACCAGCAACAGACGTTCACGTAAACATGTCAGGAGATTCAAGAGCTCAATTACAGAAGAATGTTCAGGTTTGTTCAAGAAAAGTTTGCAACATAAAAAGAAACATTTGAAGGTTTCGGATGAGTTGAAACCTCATTTTCGTGTCACAACCATACTTGAACGACCTTATGTTATGTTAAAGAAGAATCATTATGAGCTTGATGGAAATGCAAAATTTGAAGGCTTTTGCATTGATCTTCTAGCTGAGTTATCAAAAGACTTGGGTACGTTGAGATGTGAATTACAATAGCTATTAAGTATTAAGGTTTCACATATACAATTCATGCTGTACATGACGGCAAATATGGAAATGATGTATATGGCAACGGCACTTGGGATGGTATGATCGGAGAAATACTGAGAGGCGAAGCTGAGATGGCTGTTGCTCCATTAACAGTGAACTTTCGAAGATCAGAAGTTGTGGATTTCACCAAACCATTCTTATCGTTGGGTATAAGCATTTTGTACAAAGTACAGAATATAATATAATGTGAAGCTCATATGTACATGTTAAGGTCCCTGACGATCATCAACCAGATCTTTTCTCATTTTTGAATCCTCTTTCGTGGCAGATATGGTTAGCAATTCTAGCAGCTATAGGTATCATATCAATGAAGAACTATCAGTAATAGTACACATAGGTGGTGTGACGTTAACGATGTATACAGTAGCTCGTATAACTCCATATGAATGGAATTTGAACTTTTCTTGCTGCACTGCTCACCAGCCCCATCCTGCAGCAGCTCAAGGGCCTACAAATGCTCCTATCGAGTTGTCCAACAATTACAGCTTTTGGAACACGTTATGGTACTCAACGTGTCTTATTAATTAATTCATAATCATAATCAAGGTATGTAACATCCACAATGCTGAAAGGTGGATGTGATTTCGGACCACGAGCAGTATCAACCCGTTTACTAGGAGGTAACATTAGTTGAGCAAATATGTAAAATATATATGTTGCAGGAACTTGGTGGGTATTCACACTCGTCATAATCAGTGCTTATACGGCTAACTTGGCTGCTGTTCTCACTGTGTCGAGACCTTTCATACCCATCAAAAATTTGGATGACTTGGCTAATCAGAGTACCATTTCCTATGGTACGATAACAGGTGGAAGTACAATGCAGTTTTTCCAAGTAAGTTGAAGAGTGAGAATGCAACTTATTCAAATTGAAGGAATCAAAAATATCTGCACATGTCAAGATGTGGGAGTACATGAAAGGAAAGGATGTGTTTGTCAAGAACAACAAAGCAGGTGTTGAGCGAGTCATGAGGTATTCAAAATCTGTCTTTGCTAACAGTACCACGTATTTATAGTTCGAACTACGCTTATCTTATGGAATCCACGAGTTTGGAATTCGAAGTTCAGCAGAACTGTAATTTGACGCAAATCGGCGGAGTTTTAGGCTCAAAAGGATATGGCATAGCTCTGGCAAAAAGTATGTTTGAGCTGTGAATATGTAAAAACCAATCCATTAGAATCGGAATGGACTGACCGAATTTCAAACCAAATTCTACTTTATGCTAAACGAGGAATAATTGAAATGAAGAAAACGAAATGGTGGAGAAGCAAGTATGAAGAGCTTGAACCATTTCCGCATTCAATTCTTTAATTACAGAGGTGCTACCTGTTCTGGGGCTGGCTCGGCCGTGAAGCAGCAACGATTCTCGCTCTCCATGCACAACGTAGCAGGTTTATTCATAATCCTCGCCATGGGTTTGATATTCGGCTTATTCACCGTATGTGTTGAGCTTGTAATTCGAAGCCGTAAATTTGCCAAAAAAGAAAATGTGAGTTTGATACTAGCTTTCGATATGATGAAGTCGTTTCAACAGAAGCCCATAATACCGGAATTAATTAATGAGCTACGTTTTGCTCTAAATCTCAACCGAATAGAAGATCATCGTTCTCGAAAGAAAAGTGAACGAGGACCTGCCATTTACACATCTGAAGGAGAAACGTCACATCCTATATCAGCGCCATCTCAAGCAATACATGATGCATCATCATATAACAATCGATTACCTACAATGACCATAAGTCGCCATTAATTATATTTAAACAAACACATATACACACATATATATATATATATATATATA